AAAATAACACATTATTTAACTCCAAATTCGTAGCTCTCTAATCCAAATATCTTAAATCTAATGTTTTAGAATTATAATTTTGCAGTTATAATCTTATTCAGTTCTCATCATTTTTAGAATTTCATACTTGAATCTTTGATGGTTTGTAAGAATTTTAATAAGATTTTAAATATGTATAAAGAACATGATGAAATCTAAAAATCAACCAAATTAAAGAAAAATTTATTAGAAAAAAAATCAATGTATGTCAACATGTGTATCATAATTTTAATATATAGCATTTAAAATCGATTAGAATGATGTTGCATTCATTAATCAATTTTGTTACGATATTGTCTTATGTAAACCAAAGCTTTGGAATGCACTAAACATCTAATTGTTAAGATTTTTTTCTAAAGCAATAATATTTCTTATAATCCAAAAACAAAAATGATATATTTAAATTTATTTTTTTACAAAAACTTTTATTGTCTTTAAATTCTTAATTCTTAAAAGTATTAAATAATATCAACTCTAAATTCTAAGTTCTACTAAACTCAAATAATCTAAAAGTTAATATTAAAAATTCTTATTAAAAATTTATTAAAATATAAATCAACTACAAGAAATTTTGTGTTAACATCAAATTATTTATGTCAAATTGTAAGCCAATCTATAAGAAAATATTTTGAAATCTTATAAAGTATTTTAATTTTTTTAAAAAAATCTTAAAATATTTTTAAAAATTTCTATCAAATCTAAAATTCTAATTAAAAACTTCAACAATATTTTTAATTAAATATAAACTTATAAAATTTGAATAATATTTAACTTATTATTTTAAAAAACAAAAAAAAAAAGAATTGGCTAGATATTAGATAATTACATTTTCTGATTTTGATGGTGACATTTTAACAATAAGTTCATCTCTTTCTATTGTTAGTTTCTATTAAAACTTGATTTTAAACGTGCAATTTAAGTTTTCTAATAACATATTAATTTGTGGTTTATTCTAATAATTTAATCTTTATTTAAAGATAATTCTTTTATTCTTTCTTAAACTACCAATCATTGATATCTTATTGCACTTAAAATTTTGATATCTTATAATATAATTAGAATAATGAGCTAGTATGTAAGGCACACTCTCAATATATATATCTACTAATTTATAGAAGATATATTTTAGATTTAGTCCAAATTTTAAGAAATAGTTCAAAATGTAAATCTTAATTTTACTTAAAAAATCATTATTATAAAAACTAAAATTTTAACTTCAAATAACTTTCATGAAATCATTCCAAATCCAATCTAAACAAATTGTCCACCTTTGAAACTTACATATAGTCTCCTTCAAAATAATATTTTGTAATTTTTAAAAATACTCAATTTTGATGTGGGTGTATGTTTTTGTGCTTCAAGATTTTATTAAGATCTTGTCTCACAAATCTTTCTTTCTAGACACCAATGTAATATTTCAATATGCTATTATTTTTTAAAAAATAATAAAATAATAATTTAAAAGTAATTTTATTTATTATATATATATATATATATATATATATATATATATATATCTTATTTTTAATTTATTTATTTATGGCTATATAAAGTAGGTAGGAGTCTGGTTGTTAAAATCGAAAATTTAACTAAATAAAAATTCTTATTTGGAAGTGTAACATATTTTTAAATATACATTTATTAATACGTAGTTCTAAGACCAATCTGAAGTATTAGAATTGCAAATCTTTATAATTCTTTATATTATTTATGATTTTTTTCATCTTTTATTCCAAATAAATTAAAATTAAAAATACCAATAGATTTTATTAAAAAAATTATAATTATTAGATTGATATTAATATTACTTAAATTTAGTAAAATTGAAATATTTATAATGAATGTAATTTAATATATTTTTAAATTTATATATATATAATTCAAGAAAATAAAAATTAAAAATTAAAAATCATGTTAAATGTTACAAAAGATCAAAATTTCTTCAAATTATATTTAAATACAATAAATGAATTGACGATTTGTGTTTAAAATTAAATACTATGGTTATAAATATGAACTAAATCTAGATTTATAAAACTATAATATGTGTGTATATGTATATATATAGAGAGAGTCAAATTTATATATCATTGTATGTAATAGTTTACAACTTAGTTGTAATAAAAAATATATATATATATTTTTTAAAAACTGATATAAAATTAGTTTATTAATATTTGAATAATTCATTTAAACATCCTTTTCTACTAGAATTTTCTCTATAATTTTTAAAACTAATTATATTTTAATTATATTACAATTTATATTTTGTATTTCATTTTTTTATCTATAAGAATATTTTTATAAATATTTTTACTATTATTAATAGAAAATGAGTCAGTTATAAGAATGATTTGTCATTTTTTAATATAGAAGAATTTATCATATTTTTTCTGATTTTTTTTAAAGTAATAAAATTTAATTAATTTAATTGACTAATAAAATGAAGAATTTACTTCCTATTGGTATAAAATTTATGTTACATTGATATACAATTTAATATCCTTTAATTATATTTTACTGAGATTGATTTTTTTATTTTTTAATTCTCTAAATGATATGCATAATAAAATTCATTTGTTTGTTGTATTAATAAAGATTGTCATTCACAACAAATCAAGTGCCAAAAATTAATTATGAAGTATGTAATCTAAACCAAATACAAATTCACAAATAACCCTTTTTTAAGGAAAAATATAAAATCCAAACACCACTAAGTCAAGCTATCTCTTACACCACAATGGAAGAATCCAAGAGTTCAAGTATGTATAGAAAAGACCCTAAAAACTTTACTAAAAGGCTAATCACCATAGCCAAGCAAAATTTTATAACAAAGGCTTTTTTCTCTCTCAAACCACTCTCAAGACTTGACTTGACTTGATAAGAATGTTAAGTCAAAGGAGTTTTTCTACCTAAGTCTTCAAATCCTAGTTGACTTTAAGAAGATCAACTAATAGAAAATACTAATTGGATGAAAATCCACTAAACTAAACTAAATAAGATGATATACATCCAACAAGAATTGACACCCAATGCCACATTATGTGACATACTTCTTACTATTTATATTTATGTACCAATTATTTGTACTGCAAAATTATTATCTCAACTCTAAAATAAAGTGGTATAAGTTTGAAAGTAAAAAATAAATTTTAATTCAAAAAATTTACCAAATTTTATCACAAAACCTATATGTATATAAACACATGCATGTATTTTATTTTATTTTTTAAAATTTACAATCAACCAATTGTTGTAATGTCAAAAGCTAATTCAATACAAATATTAAAAAATATCGACCTTTATATAATGTCAAATGTTTTGATAAAAAATGTATGTAGATTATATAATAAAAATTTATAGTTATATTTAAATATAAAATTATATAAATAACCTAAATTTATTGAATTTATCACAATTTTGATGTCTTTATTTGGATATTTATTTGGATATTTATTGATTAATTCTTTTAAATGATATATTATTTACCATTAAAAATAAGCAATTTAATTTAATATTTTGAAATATTTTCATTCAATATTGCATGCATTCTCTTTTTCTTTTCTCTCTCTCTCTCTCTCTCTCTCTCTATATATATATATATATGCATACATACATACATGCATGTACATGCATATTTGGATATACTTTATAAGAAAATGATAATCTCTCTCTCTCTCTCTATATATATATATATATGCATACATACATACATGCATGTACATGCATATTTGGATATACTTTATAAGAAAATGTTGTGGAGTGGTACAACAAAGAACTAATTGTCTGTAAAGGTCACAAAACACTTCATCACTCATTCGTACTTTTCCCAAAGAAAACAAGAGAAATGGAAGCATCAAAAATATGAAACAATCAATTGAACTCTGACACATACCACGCTTCTTAATGAAACGCACAAGAAAAAAGAGCCTTCAAACAAATAATATTCACGAGGAGAATAAAGAAGTAGATGAACATATAAATTAAATTAAAACAAAATTAAAACAATTAAACAAACAAACAAACAAACAAACATTCACTTAAAAACACTCTTTTCATTCACCGTTCACAATTTCTTAATTCCATCACATAACATCAACAACAGGACCCAAAACAAAACGAGATCTGGTTGATGAAGCACAGACATTGCACAGCAATGCTTGTCTACGCAACACATGCAACACAGCAGCAGCGGAAGAAAAAGAAGACGATGAAGAAGATGTTGATGAATTTGACATCAATAATGTGAAGAAACCAGCATCACAATCACATCTGAATGATTCAATCAGTGCAACACACGAAATGTGCAAGCTGCAAGAGCTATGTTCTTTTTCTTATTATCTTTGTTGTTTTTGTTGTTTTTTGTAGTTTGGCTCGTTTCGGAATCAGAGATGAACGATTGAGTGACTGGGTACTCGGCAAAGATTCCACCTCCTGGATCATGACTAAACTTAGCATCCGAGAATTGGGGTTGCAGATACAACAACAACAGCAACATCAACGGAGGACAACGCGTCCATTTTTCGCACTTGAGGGATAAGGCCAGATAGAGACTGACCCCGCAACGCTACAAATTGTCGCACAATAATGCACATCTCCAGATTGTGGATCTGGTGGTAAGAGGGATATCAGGGGCCGGGTCCCACACCGCATCGACGTTGGGGCTGAAGTTGGGATCCTGAGCGACATCGGCCAGTGGGATGCGGATTTAGAAAACCCACCTGGGGATTGCGTGGACTCATTCCAGGTCGCAGGATATTATTGCACTTGTCGAGACTAAGCCTGTTTTTTGTTTACTTTTTGAGACAATTGCAAATTCACGCCGTCGTGCTGGTTGAGCCCCGGATCAGATCGTCATATCCGGGTCCGTGTCCGTGTCCGTGTCCGCCCCAACATCGTCGACCGCATCCGAAGCGGTGGATTTGTCGCAAGAGAAAGAGTGAGAGGAAGTGGAGATAGATATGTGGGCGTTGGTGGACTGCGAGGACTACTGAGAACCGGGTGAAGAAGGAGCAGCAGCAGCAGAGACCCGATTTGGGGATTTGGGCCCTCTGCCACATGTGGGACAATTCCTGGCGGTGGTGGATGGTTTCTTCCACGTTGGGTGTTTGGAACTGGGAGGGTTGCTGATCAGCCCAGTTGCACCATCCACTGGCGATGGCGAGACGCGCAGGCTTGACTTGGCCCCACGTTATTATTACTGGGCCTGCCGGCAGTCGCTTCCAGACAGACAGGGTGCAGTTTGCAGAGCTGCTGGGTCGAGAAAGCACCTGCAGCAGGGGAGACGGAGGCGGGGGCGGAGGAGACCTAGAGCGGCCGGTGCCATCCCTTTTTTTGCCATTATAGGAGAAGACGAAATTTGAAGAAGAAGAATGAGGGGGTGGGTCCACTGTCAATGTCGTCTTCTAGCATATAATCAAGGTCAGGGGAGAGAATGAAAGAGGGGAGAGGAAAGGGGAAGAAGAAGAGCGGAGTTGCGTCTGTGAAACTGGGTTCTCAAATTTGACTTCGGGCTGTGGTGGTGTGCGCTCATTAATTTTATTTTGTCAGACGCTGTGTGTAATTGAGTGAGAGAGAGCGAGAGAGCGAGAGTGTGTGTGTCTTTTCTTAGCTTTGGGGTTGAAGTTTTAAGATCTTTAAATGTGGAGACGAGTACACTCGAAGATCCTCAAGTAGCTTTCTGGTTTTGATTTGTAAACTAATCGATTAACATCTCTGAAGAATCGCAGTTCAAAGTGAATCAGCTAGAGGCTGAATTCCCTGAGCTTTCTGTGAGGCTAGCTTTTGAGCTCGTAAGTCTAAGTGCCGACAGTGGTGCCCCCGAGCTGAAGGTTCAGTGTGACATTCTCAACTCCGAACGTCTGAGTTGGTTTTGAATTAGTGAGTTGATATTCTGTTTATCTTGTCACAGTATACGTATCATTTTCGATGGCTCTGTTTTTCAAGCTCCAGATTTGTTTTATCTGCACGCAGTAGGAATCGGAGGTGGTTTCTTGGCACAGATTGCAACAACCTACGCTTCACACTTGCGATGTCAATGTATAGCTTCCCTGTGGCTTCATGTTAATCAAATGGTGAGGAGTCTAATTGTATACCCCACGCGAAATGTGTCAGGTGAGAGTATGTTGGATTTATTTCCAGTTTTGAAGAGACCAGAGATTGCCCGAGCAACTAAGTGAAGCTTCAATCCGACCGCACATCCCAAGAACAGGTCAGGTCTTGCAACAAGTGGGAAGCATGAAGGTTATTCAATGCGGCGTTTTTAATACACAATATGCTTGTTCTCTATCTCTAAAAACGTAGACAGGATTCATTTGTGGTGCTTTTGAGGAGAAAGAGGAGGGAGTGTCCGCTGTAGTTTCTGCACATCTTTGCAAATCCAGTTAGTTTGTAAGTGGCTAAGTTTCAATGTGAGAACGCTGTCGATTGGTAATGGTGACTGATAGGCGTGGATACATGCAGAGTCTATCGGTATGAGACCATCGGCAATTGTTGGAACGAAGGCGGTAGCAATCCCATCACGGCAATCTGGGTGGATGCTTGTTGGTTAACCACATACTGCAAGTAGTTTTGGAGTTGCAGTAGTGTGTTGAGAAGGGGTGGCAGGGTGAAAGGAGGGGTGATCGAGAATTATGCAACTAACTACGTGGGTCAGATGCAAGCCCATCTCAAATGAATAAGGTCAACTAATAGAGGAAAAACAACACGTCATATCCTGTGTCGCTAAGCCTCAAGTGATCGACAGCGCGAGAAGGAAATGGAAATTAGGTGTTAAAAGCAATCGGCCATTCAGTTTTGAAGCGCTACATCCTAGAAGCCACAATTTAGCATCATTGACGTTTTGATAGCTGTCATAGCTATCTCGCCTACTTAAGACAAGAGGGTTTATCCATCGTGAGGTGCACTGACGGTAGAAACAGGACTGCAGCTTGGAACCCAGGAATTATGAGGTCGCAGCTGCAAATGTCGTCGGGGGTGTGAGACAAATTCAATCAAACATTTTGAAGACGAGGGATGGATCGATTTTTTTTCCCCACTGAGACCAGAATGTCGAAGCCTCGGCATTTAGGGCCTTCCCCTTCACTGAATCGGTCATTATCAAGACTGTCTTCATCAACATCTTTCTCATCGCGGCAGTCAAATTCGAGAATTCACAAATTTCTGATCGCCGGTGGACTACTCTTGTTTGCCACCGTTGCCTTCTTCCAAGTGCATCTGCCTGGGGCCCCACAAGGCTCCAAGCTTAGTCCTCTTGAGCATGGGAAGTCAGGTTTGTACCATTACTGACTTTCGATCTCAAGCGTTGACAGCCTTTCATCGATTTTTTATTTTTGTTTTCTAACATGTACTTTTTAGAAGGTAGTTGTGTATGTCGCCTTTCTTGCACTATATTCGATGCTAGTGCTCACCAGGCAGGTTACATTTTTGATCGTACGTGTGCTGTGAAAATTCCTCGAGCATTAAGAAATCCCCTCTGTAATGTGATATGTGACTCCTATGATATGACAAGGGGATCACGGTGATGTAACATTCGGAAGAACTCAAATTCTTTCTAACGTGTCGATACACCTGGCTGAAGAATGTATCAATTTTAGTGGAAAATGTGGCCCAGGTTTTATTGCAATAAATGTCAGTGTTTTCCAGGAATAGTTTCTAATTGTAAATTATTCTGAAGATTTTAGTGCGATATTTACTCAGTTTTCTTGAGAATGGATTCATTAATTTCTCGCTCACACATGTCATGGAGAGTTTCCTTTTGCATCCGTGAGGAAACCTCATTTTCTGTTCACTGTCTTTTGATGTGTTCTGGCTCTGAATATTCATTGAGAATGATTCGACTTTTGTTTGTTTGTTTGTTTGTTTTTTTTTTTTTTGTTGTTGTTTCTTGATTTTGCTGGGGAATTATAGACAAGGGCGCTGGAGTTAAACATGCATGGTGGAAGGAGAATGTCGGGGTAAGGGATACCAGCGACTTGGATCTGGTTACTGGTAAAATCAGATCGGTTGAAAAGAGAAAGTTTGGACGAAGAATGGGAGCAGTGCAACGCGTTGAAGATGACGTAGAGGTGGGAAGTAGTGATGAAGACACAGAAACCGTAGAAGAAATGGGAGATGATGGGGATGTAGATGAAGATGAAGATTGGGATCGCTTTGATGTTGATGAAGATGATGCAGTTGTCGAAGATGAGGATGATGACCTTGAGGACATGGATCTGGCAGTTGTTGCAGAAATGGCGGATCAGGATGGTTTTGAAAGTGTAACAAATGACCCGGACTCTTCCAAAAAATCTGGACAGGAGGGTTTTAGTAAAATAAATTCAGCAGTGCCTGAGAAAGGGGGAGTTAAGAAAGTTGCCTCTTCCAAGTCACCAGGTCGTAATCGTGTAAATAATGAAAAAAGTAGCAATAGTAATACTGATCAACACAGGGGCAAACCAGGTAACTATAAACCCAAACATAACAAAATTGCTAAGGGAAATGCTGTTCCGGATTGGGTTCTTGATGATAAATTGCGTATCGAACAGGGCGAAATTTCTGAGACACATCAGAAGGGTTTTGAGAAAGACCTAATAACGGGCATAGAAAAGAGGAAGAGCTCATTCTTTTGGGATCATGCACTGGGTGTTCGCAAGAGATCTTTGGAAAATGTGGGCTCTATGGGCTTGGGAGAAATTAAGAACTCAACTGCCATCTATAAGCCTGGCGAGGTTGTGGAAGACAAACGTGTAGCAACAGGGGACAAAGAAGCAGCCAAAGTAGCTGTGCTGCAGTTGAGAGGCTTCAAGGAAGTCGTTGAGAATTGGAAGGAGCGGTTCAACAGCGATGATGAGTTGATAGACGATGATGTTCAGCAACGCCTTGAAGGTGTGCGTGAAATTGAAGATGCTTTGTTGTTGAATGGGGATGTAGCACCAGAGAAGCCGACACTTTCCAAGAAGTTTGATGCTGCTTTGAAGAAGGGAGGAGGAAGATTTGACCCTATGAATCCTGCCAACAACCCAATGCTTCAAGATCCTGACACAGATCCCGGGACGTGGATGACGAAGACTGACAAAGAGATGTTAATGGCTATCAAAGGAGGTCGTTTCAGTGGTGGTTTGCCACCCAAGGTCCTCTTGAGGGGCAATATCCCTGGGACTGTTACTAAGACAGATGCCGAGGTGGATAGACGAGCCTCCGCAGTCGAGGCTTCCAGTTATGCAAGGCAGGAGAAAAGAGAGATTACCAAATCTATTCTAGCTGAAATCAGCGATCTACGTAGATCCGGCGAGGTACATGGTGCGGGTGGGCTGGGAAAATTCATGGAATTGAGCTCTCAGAGAAATGGAGATGAGAGGCAATCAGTATATTATCCCGGAATAGGATCTTCACTGTCCTTTTTGAATTTTACGGAAGCTTTCTTGGGGCAAGAGAGCTGCTCACTTAATGTCTTTATGGCTTGGGTTACCCCTGCACGGGATTTCACAGCCAGGCACCAACGGGCGTTAGAAAGTCTTTTTCGCATTCACCGGAATGCTTGCGTGGTCATTTTCTCAGACACACTTGAGTTTGATTTCTTCAGTACATTCGTGAAAGAAGGGTACGTCAACCACCAATACTTTCTGTTTACTGTTGTTTGTTGTTTCCGTTTGCAGCATTGATATCCCCAATTGTTTTGTTGTTTAGAAATTGGCTCCTGTTGAGTTTTAGCTTGTTTTTATCTTGATTACATCCCTGTGGATCTTTTCACTTCAGGTACAAGGTAGCTGTGGTGCGACCAAATCTGCAGGAGCTTCTAGCAGACACTCCATCTGATGTTTTCTCTGCTGTCTTGCCGAAGTTGAAAGAGAAGCCTTTGTTTCACTTGCATATTACTGAACTTCTAAGATTAGCAGCTCTTTACAGGTAAGTTTCTAAGCATCTTCGAGTTGTTTTTCTTCGGTGAACTGAATCTAACAATTTGAGTGGAACAATGTACGCGAAGTTTTTTTTTTTTTTTTTTTAATTATTGCTCCCTCCTTCAGATCATCTCCCCATTTGATGGCAAGGTTCAACGATGATGAACAATTGGAATCTATGCAGGTTTGGAGGAATATATCTGGACATGGATGTGCTTGTCTTGCGACCTATGGACAATCTACGCAATACTTTAGGTTCTGAAATCACTGCGAACGGAAACCTACGACTTAGTGGTGCTGTTTTGGTCTTCGAGAAGTCCAGGTTCGGATTGCCACCTTTGTATGAGTTGATCAAATTTCTCTTTTTCCTTGTAATACACCTACCTGAACGAATTAGCTCCTTTTTGTCCGACTGAGCATGCAGGATTGAACACAACTGAATCTGCTAACTATTTGCTTCATAATATAAATGATTTTAAAAAAAAAATAAAAAAATCCTCTGATTTGGTTCTGTTTATTAGATTGACTTCATTCAAATTGTGAATCTGAATTTGTTCACGCAGTCTATTTCTGAAGAAGTGTATGGAGGAATTCACGAGGACGTACGACGAGACATTAGATCAGTATAATGGAGCAGATCTCTTGACACGAGTTGCCAATTCTACTGTTGATGAAGAGGGTACTACATGGACAAAGCTGCCGCATTTGTTGAAGATTCAAGGGCCGTCTACGTTTTTTCCACTGGATTCAAGTGGGATCTCAAAGTGAGTCCAATCTCTTGCTTCAAAATTAGTTGGATTTTCTGTAGTCTTGGTTCTGGTGTACTCCCCCGGACACACAAGTCTCCATGTTAACTTACGGATTGTGTTAATCTTTCTGATTTTTCGTTTTTTCGTGTTTTTTTTTCCTCCTTGTGAACAGATTCTTTGCAGCACCTAAAGATGACATCGTGAAAGAAAAGCAACGGAACCTGCTGATCAGAATTTCCGAAGAGGCAATCACTGTCCATTTGTGGAACAGTGTTACATCGAGCCTAGTTACGGAGCCAAATAGTCTTGTAGAAACCATTCTGAGCCGATCTTGTCTGCGATGTGAGAATGTTCTATGATTGTCTCAGATTTTTTGAACCCGGAAATTGTATAAGATTAGTATCTATGTACCATAAGATTAACATTTGTGTACCGTATATACCGCAGCAATATCTTTTCTATGTTTATTTTGTTCTCTTATTATTGTTATTTTTATGATTTTGAAAGAAACGTAGGTAACAGCGTAGTTGGTAGGACCAATGAACGGGAACAACTGGCAGTTGGTTTAATATCAAACCGAGCTAAACGCCCAATTGACTGCTGCATCAGTGATTTCTTTTCCCAAAACCTTGTTCTAAAATATGAAGATACTTATCTGAAATGATGTCGGAGATGAAAGTTTTACACAAAGCATATAGCCAATTTTCAAGTTCGGAACGTGGATGACCTTTTTCGGCTTTTTCTATGATTCCAAGCTTTTAAGATGCGAAATCATTTTTTTTTAAAGAAATCGGCAATTGTGAAGGCTCTATGAGACACTGACAAGTCTGGTGACTTCCATTGGAATCCTTCAAAGCCAAAATCCTAATGTCTACAGTCTGCCATCTGCAGCATTAATTCACCATAGAGCAGTTAATACCGAAATCTTACGACCTCGGCAATTGTTATGCGAATGCAGGCTTGTAAAAGCATATGAAGTGGAACAATCCAAACGGCTTTTGATGCCAACACTACCAGTTTTGAATTCTCATAAGTTTTTGTTAGCAATTTGGAAAAAAAGAGATTTAAAAAGAACCTGTGTGCCGATTATTTGGTGAAGTACGCAGCTATTCCAACATTGCGTTCTCCGGAGCAACGCTTCCGTATTCACACCTAAGATTCCATTTCGGATATTTCCATTTTCCCCAAATCAATCCTCACAGCTATTTTAATGAAGAAAAACCGTGGCACCGCAGCCGGATAGAACCTGGATTTTCTTTCACCCTGAGTTTGAAGAATCACTTCATTGGACTCTGAAACTTGCAGCCGAAAAGCGAGATTTATGACATCCTCCGCTTGATGGAATAAAACTTTTAGTGCTAGGGTTTAGGAGTAGGGCTAAAAATTAAGGTTCTTTTTTCTTCGACTCAAGTGCTGTGATTCGGGTTAGTAATGGAATTTGAATCAGAACTTGGAAACTTGTCAGGCCAAGCAGGAGTATCGGAACAATAACAAAGCATATTCTTCTTCAATCATGTGGGCATGTGACATTAGGACAGTTGCCACTACAACATTTGGGTGCCTTTTCTTTTAGTGCAATACATTAGAAAGTGAGTTATTGATGTACAATATTACACAATACAATGATGGATCACAATGCAATGAGTATAACTGGGTATCACCACACATTTTTATTAGAACCCTAACAAAATAAAACAAAATTGGAATCAGAGCTATTTGCATTGTGTTTGAAATAGTATGTTAAAGCAAGGAGATCTTCAATGTTTATTGAAATGGTGGAAATTAATTGCTATATAAGTTTGTTCTTTAAATTAGCATTACAACAATAAAAGTGAAGTAAAACAAACACCATATATCCCTCAATAGACAATATAGTCTAAGGCCATGGAATATGGTGCTTGGCATCAACCTTGGATGTTGAACCTCTCTCTACCTTTGTAATTTTTTAACACTTCAATGAGATGTGTATTGATGAACTAAGAGATGAATGAGGAGTATGAAGATATGTAATGCCCTTTGGATAGAATGGATAGACACTGTTGTCTTTAATATATGAGATAATGAACAAGGTAACCTCCATAAAATAGATATATATATATATATATATATATATATAGAATTTAAAAAACTATTTGAAAATCACATGGACACTAAAGCTTGGAAAGTCCACCGACCGATGACCGAAGCTTCAGCCTCCCTTCGTGGAGAGACGCAGTGGGAGCAGGCCCGTGGCCTTGATTATGCACGGAACGGTCGTATCCATCCCCAGATTTCAGGCCCCCGGGTACCGAGAATGACATTACCACTTGGAAAATTGATATGACAGTTGAGATCCCCAAACGGTGGGCCTTTTCACACTGCGCGTGAGCTTTTGGCAGGCAAACAAGGGGTCTATAGTCTTGTGTTGAGCTGAGTGGAGGGGTCCCTTTGAATGGTATGCACCACCTATGCACAATATAGAGACGTGGTTTAGAGTGGCCCTTGGAATATTCTTTCTTTTTATTTTTTTGCCCTTTTTTAAAAATGGTTTTTTATTTTATTTTACAAGATTCTTAAATACATGCATCATTCTACCTTACCCTAATTTAAATGAAATGAAACAATTTGGGATAGTTGTTATTTGAAATGACAACCTGTTTACCACCTTGCCAATGTACTTGAATCAACAAGTTGGATTACAGAAGTATATGATAAAATTATTCCTCGAGCATTTTAAACATAAAATTTAAATCGGAATTATCTTTTGAGTGTATAATCATACATATAATAAAATAGTATTACATTTTTTTCTTAGTTTTATAATGAATTAAGTTGAAGTATTAGTAAAAAAATCGATCATATTTAAAGCAGCGATGTTTTTTTTATTAAAATTATCTCTGAGAAATTGTTACACGCACTAAAAGTGTGTGTGTATAAATAAATAAATAAACACACACACACACACATATATATATATATATATATATATATACATTGAGCTAATTAAATAGAAGACTTGCACTTACAATTTCAAAAAAACGAAGCTCAAAATTGCATCAACTGTTGTGGTAGGCACAACCAATTTATAAAACTATTCACATTAGATGAGTTTTCGGTGTGTTTTTAGGATTTTTCTCAATAAGAAGGTCCATACTAATTTATAATAAAAAATCGATTGAAGAATCCACAAACACTCAACACATAGTTTTAATAAGTCATTTGCTTGTTTTTCTACGTTATGTGTACACAACTTTCAGAAACAGATCCCGATTCGAACAGTGAATCTATTGGCTCTTGGCAACAAACACACCAATGCATAACCCCTCAAATGGTTGTAATATCAGATAAATTCCATCCAGTGTTTTACACCATAAAGAGAACTAAACACGGACCCACCAAAAAAAACACGAAAGCAAATTAAGGACCGACTGAACCAGCTCGTCAAGCATGATGTCTTTTGCTTTTTCCAATGCAAAATAAAATACTTTTTACTATTCAAGCTTCATGACAAATTTGGCATTCCTGGTTAAGGGGGGTTTCCAATTCGGAATCGACGCCCGTCCAATTCTGGCAGCGTAGCCAAACATTGCCGCGCAGAATCTATCGTCCCCGCGACAGAATCGGCGTGTGTGACGTCATCGAAGAACAAAAAAGCTTCTAGCAGCGCGTATCGCGAACGTGGGGATCGTGCTCTTGGGAACGGACCTCCGAGGGCCCGGCAACTCGAGTCCCATACCGTCCTCTGGCACTGTATAGTTTTCATCCATGAGCAGTATTCATCTAGTGGATGAACATGGTGTTGGGTTATGGGACATGTGACCGAACCGACTTGGGGGGGGGGGATTTGCATTAGACCCGTTTTGTTGTGAGGGCTTTGTGGTGAAGATGAGGCTCTCTCGCTGTTTACATTGGTGAAAGAGCTTGTCTTCTTCGTGTGTGCCCCCTTACTACGCAACTTGCGTGATTGCACTTGCCTTGACAGCAGCATCTGAAGAGGGCGCTTGACACGTAGGAAAAATAAAACGCTGTTGATTTAGCACTGCCCACTTGATTAGCCTCGTTGACAGATATTTCATTACGAACTTTTCCTGCTTCCTCTCAATACAAGGATCTTCTACATTTATATTTCTCTATATATTTGTGTGTCAATATATATGTATAGATATACACGTGTGATTTTCATAACATGCCAAACTTGCATTGAATGGGTTGCTTGTGACAAATGTTGTTTAACGTGTGATTGCAAGTTCTCTAGTGATAATCTCATCTAATTTCTTGCTGAGTGTGACTAGAAGAATAATATGAAAGTACTTGCCGGAAACTATAGTTATTTTCATTTTTTTTTATAGTAATTATCGACTGCTTGCATTCCTCCAGAGAATCGTGAAAATGTTTTAGTCACTGTTTTTGATCATAGCATCTGTGCATTACGTATGCGTTTTTTGCATTGAAAATAAAAAATAAATAAAAAAAATCTCTTAACATGGGAATTAATTAACCCTTGTGTAGACCTCGTTTTTTAACAGCATTTTTTTTTATCACTTTCTATTCCTACATTAAACATTAGAACTTCATTCAAGCATTGGGTACATGAATTTTTAGATTTGCCTCAGAATTCACTTATAAACACTTAAAAGTTGTCATCGCTCTCAATCATTCATCTAAACATCAATTGTGTTCACCAACGACGTTTTTATTGATTCATTTATTCATTTTTTTGCTTTGCATTTTCGGTTTTCTAATGTTACAGATAAAAGTTTAGAATCATTTATTCTGAAGAAGCAGTGTTCAATGGCGGTGACAAAGACCGCCACCATTCAAAATGCCAAAATTTGTATGTCTGTGTATTAGAATAACAATAGCATCAACACACACTCACACATTGTTTTATCTTATGTGAGTGTGTGTTGATGCTATTGTTATTCTAATACAATGATTATTATATTTAATCTCATTTGTCTTTACTCTCTAAGCAAGTGTAATACACAATATCCTCTATTTTTAAATAGAAGAAAAGGAAGAAAGCAAAGGGATGGTTTAAGAACAAGGCAAACTATGAATGCTCTGATATTATTCTGGTTGTGTTGTCACAGAGATATATATATATATATATATATATATTCCTCAAGACAGAGTTTCGCCCTGATCATTTGAATATTTCTGTGGTGAAAGACTAACCCAGCCTGGGGGGATCCATCACGATTCGGTGATTAGGATTACGAGGAAAAAATGGAAAGTCACAGGGAGTTTTGAGCAGCCAGTAACAGGTGCCCATGTCAAAGGGATGAATCTCACCTCCCTTTGACAACTGTTGCCTACTAACCAATGTGGTCTTAATGTGAAGGCGCCTGGGGAATCAGTAACGAATGAATGAACGAACGAATGAATGAACGAACGAATGATAGAAGGCAACAGAATCCTGTCTAAGAATGGACCCCCCCCGTCCCCGTTCTTTTCATGATTCTCGAATCAGAAATCGGGAAACAAGGCAGGCGGCGATTATTCATCCACAATTGGATGAACCGATCGCACGGTTGTAGGAGAACTTTTGCGATTGTGCTCCATACGGGCATGGGTTCCCGTGATGGTGTGTGTCATGGAATGGGAGCGACATGAGGCAGTTTACGGGGGGTGAATGCGCTGGCCATGCAACGTGGAAGGCTTAGCGAGGAGAGGCATCGGTAAAGCGGCAACGAGGCCCTATAGGGAATATCTAACTCCGCCTTCCCATCCCTCCTCCCCTTTAGAAAGGCAATTTCGCCACCATTCCGCATTTCGTCGTCGTCATCGTCGTTGTTGTTACATCTCTTTGCTCTATTGATCAATAGTACTGTAGGAGCTAGTTGTCTGCACTAATCTTTACCTGCACGGATTCCATTAGCTATATCCCTCCTACTCACTCTCCCCTCATTTGTCACTTTCTCAGTTGTATCATAACCAATTCTGCCCACGCTTGCCAATTCTGCACCCGATTGCTTGAACTCGCAGCAGCAGCAGCAGCAGCTTGTTATAACAACTCCTGCAGCAAAAACATCCATCTAAGAGATCTGAGTTTTCTTGGTTTGGTGCTCGCAATTGCAGATCAGGGTTGGGTTTTGCTTTAGGTATGGGATTCGATTTTATATCTTTTGTTTCTTCTTCTCCCATACTGGGACTGATGAATTGTCCGCGGAGGTCGGTGAGTGTGTGTGACTGCAGGAATTGGTCTGGGTGCTGTAGATTTTGAGTTTGACGTTTGGGGTTGGGATGGGTGTGTGTTTGAAGTTGAGTAGAGTGGCTTGCAGAGGGATCCTATTGTGCATGCATGGTTGTTGCTGCATTTGGTAATGCTAGAGGGCGTGTGTGTGTGTGTGTGTGTGGATGCGATGGGTCGCCTGGACTGGTTTGTAAGAATGGTGTATGACTGTGGTGCCGCGATGTTGCAGTAGAATAGTGCGGATCGTGGAGTTTGTTTGTAGTAGGGAGGATTTGAGGAGAAGCTGTGAGAATATGACGCGGGGGACGAATACCTCTCGAACTTTATCCGGTAGCCGCTGAACTGTTCTCAGGTTGTGAATAAGAATTGAATAGAGGTTCAATGGAGTTACGCATTGGATGTGAACAGTGGATCATCGTTTGATGTTCTGAATCCGGGGAAGGTATGTCGGGTTATGAATTGGTGCAGTGGGGACTCTTGGCCAAGTCTGCACCATGATCACCATGAAGTCGTCGACGGTCACGTGCTTTGTATCTACTTCAGATCATTGGAGGCTGTGGGTTCAGCATGGTCTGATTCTGATTCTTTAACCCCACGGATTTGGCTGCTACAGATCACCCTCGAACAACTTATGTGCTGCATTTTCTTTCTCTTCTTTACTTGCGCATCCATGCGATGTTCTTGTCTGAACTGATTGCTTTTCGATTTGTGATGTTGTAATCTAACGACATGTTTCAATAAATTTAAATGCGGGTCCGCTGCTTTAGCGCTAAAAAAATACTCGTGTGTTTTGGACCTTTTTATAATGGCCAAATTGCGGTCGGTGCACTTGTGCATGCGGATTTGGCCTATATGAAAGAAGCACAGTGCTCCGTCTTTCTCGTGCAGTCACTTGTACAGTTGGTTGGTTTCACATCATTCGTGCTCGTTTCATCCATTATTTGATGTTGCGCAATTATGTTATCTCTCATAATTAGTATTTACGAAGCTGTTCTTCGTTGTGTTCTCTGGAATATAAACTGTAGATGTGGTTCGAGCGCCTACAACTATATGAGTAGGCTGGTCAACTATGTAGCGGGAAAGGCGTTCTGAAAGGTTAAAAGTGACGAGAGTGTCGTCTGTGCGGGTGTGCGAGACATTCTGCTCATGCATGTGTTGAAAGCTTGTTTTTGCAGGTGAGGACGTGGGAAGCACATCCGTGAAGGACTTTGTAGGATAAAGAACTTGTAAATCTGGGCATGGGCGGAGAATCTTCAAGTTCTTCCAGTGTTGAAAGTTTTGAAAGTGGAGAGTTCGAGATGGGTAGTCAAAGAGAGTTAATTAACATTAAAGGCGCTCAGTTGTACCTCATAGATGGTGAAGAAAGCGTGCTTATGCAGAGTGGTGATTTCTCTTTGAAGCTATTAAAGCAAACCCACTCGCCGCTGGCTGTTGTAGTAGCAAATGTGGCCGAGGTACAATGGCCAGTAGGAAAAGACGCGCCAGCCTTGAAAGTCTTTCATCATCGTTACACCTTCGCTCTGCCTGGTTTGGTGTACGGTATAATTTTTCCTGCTAGTACTTCGCCGGGCTCGCTATTGCGGTTGGAGACCATCCTAGCCTTATATAGTACATTTGAAGCACATCATGAGATTGCTAACGCAGGTACTGTTACTTTTGAAACCCTTAATACTCACATTTTCGCTTAGATGATGATTTTATGTCGTGTTATTATTATTGATTCATCCGAAACTTTATGTTTTCACTACTGTTAAAAATGGTGACGAGGAGTGAAAATCTAGTGTAGTTTACAGGGAGTTTCAAATCGTGCAGTGATAATAATATTCGCTTGTGTGGATATGAGACTAATGATAAGAATTTCGGTGTGACAGTTCAATACGAATTTTCATTAGCTGGAGATAAAGATAACGCAGGATACTGGACAGCGGTGGCGCCTGAAGTGGAAACTTTAAGCTCACGTGTGGCACGACAGATTGATAGCACATCTACTGTAGTGGCAAGTAATTTAGTAATCGGAGGAGACTGGGCAGCGTTGGGTATTAAGCATGGAGGGTCTCTTCTGAAAAGGAATTCAGATACTTACTCTGGAGGTGGCGGTGGAGGAGTTAGCCCTCGTGTGATGAAAAGGATGCAGCAAGCGCGTCGCATGTCGGCCGTTGCAAAACTCATGTCAAGATCTCTTCTCAAGGGCGCTATAAGTGCAACAGGCCACGTCTCAAAGACCCTTGGCTTGAATGCTACTCCCTCCAGTGGGCCACAATATGGCGTATCTGAGGATACAGCTCGGAATGTTGCTGTAGCTAGTGTAGATGCTTTTGGGAAGGTGGTGGAAGCTGTGGAAACCGCTGGGAAATCGCTCATGGACGCAACTCAGAAGGTGGGCACGGACATTGTCCAGGAGCGTTTTGGCCGACAAGCTGGCCTGGTTTTGCAAGATGGACTTGGAGCCATGGGAAATGTTATCAACACCGCTTGGACATTGAATAAGATGGGTGTAATGATGCTGCTACGAATGACTGCTGCATCTACAGCTCTGAATACACGATCTGGATCCATGAGCACATCTTCCACGACAACCGGCGATGAAAATGTTTCGTCTCCGTCGTCAACTGGATCTAAGCCAACGAAGCAACACTTTCAGCGTCCATTACAACATCAGATTACACTTTCACCCCAGCAATCTGCTCAGTCTGTCCCTTTAAATCTCTCCTCAACTGCTAATGTGCAAAGTGGCCAAACCCTGCAGACCTCGCAACTATTTCCCACCACGCCTGAGCAGTTGAGACATCATGCAGTAGTAGGAGTACCTGCTACTTCTCCTTTGCGCTTGCCCACTGGTAATTACACGGGGCTTGTTCCACCAACGGGTCCGCGTGGTAATAGTCCCTTCCAGCAGTACCATCGGCATGTGTCGCAACCGCAGTCTCCGTTCAGCTTTCATCCCACAGCGAACACCCAAATTGAGTAAAAGAACTCGAAGATAGTACATGCGTGGGTGGTACTTGCTATTGGAAAGAATGGCTGGATGAATTTAAGCCGATGATGGCGTGGAGTGGTGTGGGCTGGTCTTGCCCACACAAAGCAGCGGAATATGGCTTGGAGATTGTCACATACATGCAAAGGAAAACTATTAAGGAAGATTCTTCTTCGTAATGAGAGAAATTAACGATTTTGGACAGAAATGCTTCAGCATGGGAGTAGAACTGAAGCCCTTTCGTACAGATGATGAAGACGACACTATGTGATTAAAGCTTGGGGTTATCTCCCTTTGGCTGTGCTTGCGCCGGTTGAAAGTTCAACGTCATCGTCTCCATGTTTACCAGCAGGTAACGTTCGCAACGAAAACCATCAATAACCGAACACACAAATACACGTACACGCATGCATATTTACGTGCGCATTTATCACACATGTCCACGGCTATTCTATTCGAATCGAAGTTGCAGGGGTATTTGACGAGAAGATGAAGAGAGTTGGTTGCTATTCCCGGTTGGGGCGTGTGGAGATTATGGCCATCGTAGATTGGGATTGTTTTGAAGAGAGCGAGAGAGAAAAAGCGAGAGAGATTGTTGCATTTAGCGTGTAGAGTCCAGTGCACAGATTTTAGAGTATCGGTGCTGTTAGAGACGGTGTGTAAAAACTATGCCCCTCGCAGGAGGATAAATGCAATTGATATAAAGCTCGACCAACATGATCAGTATAGAGAAGAGTAAAGGGATTAGTTGGTGTGAGGAAAATGAAGATTTATGCATTCTTTGTGTACGATATCGTACATGGCATGGTGAACTTGTTGGTTATGGCAGACTACACACGTGTATACTGTCATTCATAACTCGCTGATTTACACATTTTTCATTTTGATTTTTCTTTTGGTGACACACACACACACGCACACATATATATATATATATATATATGTAAAGAAGTGTGCGTGCGTGCGTGCGTGTGTCTGTGTAAATGTATGTGTTAGTTTGCTGTGATTACTGCATAATGAAAGTATAGAAGTTGAAGTATCATGTTACATGCAGTTTCTTTATTGATTTTGTATTTTGATCATATAGTTTGCGTGTTCGTTATCTGAGTTACCATCCATTTCATAAACCCATCTCAAATTTTCAGACAGTTCCATTCTATAAACAACCGTTGCAGTTTGGCGAAATGCATGTGTACGCGTGGCACATCCTCTACCTCACTTTATATCTTTAATTTGGTAACTTCCTGTGTCATGTTCGCACATGTGGTACTTGAGAAGCTCTTCGCTTTCAAGACTTCAGTTTCACATGTTTGGGAGGGAAAGATTGTACAAATTCATGTGATCTAGTGTCTAGGAATCATGAGAAATAAATTCGAAGCATCAATAAGCTGAACCTTTCGAGTGAAACGTTTTCATCAGTTCACTGATAAGCAATCTCATCGAACTGATACCTCCACTTGGTGCTACCTTTCAATCTGACGTATTCTGAAACACCACGGAAAAGCAGGGCAAGTTGCATTCCTCATCTTGGGGAAGAAGTCCAGCCTGATTCCGATTTAGAATTTCGATACATGTCCCTACCGATGACAAGTGTAAGTCAACAACTTGGTCTCTCCTTGAGCTCATACCCACCAGGACATTTTCAGGGGAGGAATTCTTTGGGCTGTCCTCTGCGGAAAAAAAATCTAACCCACTCAGATTCGAGATTCAATCCAGCCCTCGCACTCTAACCACTCTACCTCCAATTACTTCCCCAAAAATGAATATTATCCATGTTACACAACGGATGATTGCGAGAAGCGTTGAAATAATGTTCGGAAAGATTAAACCCACGTTCGAAAATAGAACAACGTTTGAGCTGGTTGGGTCTGCAAAACAGGTCGCCAACCCTCTAGTTGCGCTTGATTTGTCCATGTTAGACCCAGAGATGGCAAGCTACGAGGCCCCACCCGGCAACAATTGCTTGATTATCATCTCCACTTCCACGGAAAGTGAACCCATCTGTCTATCTTTCCCTCCGCGATATGAATCCCGCATCACACTGCTGATTCCATCACTTTACCAACGAATCCAGAGCTAACGTGCACTGCGCAATCGCAAGCTCATGTTTGCGCGCTGATTACCAATCCTTTCGACTGCCACCTTGGATACAACAATAAAACAGTGCTGGAAGGCCCCTCGAGAAACGCTGCTTGGCTTGGTCGGAGCGGGAGCTTCTCTCAAGGCACGCCCTCAATCACGATGAGGCAAAAAAAACACTACAAAGGTCTGCTTTTTCCACGAATTTGAGGACATTCATGGAGTGGAGCGAAGACATGTGTCCCGCATGATTTGCATTGCGAATGATTGGGTTTTCTCATGTCAGGCAAGCAAAGTTCAAAACCATAAAGTGTGTTCCCAGAGCCTTTTTCCCCACACTGGCCCTCTCCCTTCCTCATACTCCCTTCCTTCCCTTCACCATCACCACCGCCGGGACAACTTCGCACCATCTTCCGAACTCAAATCCTTACAGAAGAGCAGTGTGCTGGTAAAGCTGTAGGGTTTAGGGTGATATTTATGGCGGAATTGGTGAAGTTGTCAGGAATGGTTGCGAAGGGGATGATTTGGGCATACTTAGATACTACTGTTGTGTTGCGAATGAGACAGGAATCCAGAGCCCCATCACAGCGTGGCAGGTGGTTGGTATAGCCTCAATTTCCCATGGCCTTTTTGCTTATTTATCTCTCTCTCTCTCTCTCTCTCTCTCTCTCTCTCAATTTGTTCACCTCGCCGGTGCATCATTCTGGGCGCTATGGCTCCAGCAGAAGAAGGACACAAAAAGAAAGAAAGATTGAGGATGGACGTTCCATAGTCCCTCCCTCATTCTCGACCCACTTCGGCCTCTCCCACCTTCACATCTCCAATCCCACCACCAAATAGCTGAAAGCACTGGGTGGGTTGAGAAGCTGAAGTTAAACTGTGGGCTTCAAAACTGTGAGTTTTGGGGTGAAACCATGAGGTTCCTGTTCTCTTTGATGTATGGGTCAAAAGTTAAGATAAATAAATAAATAAATATGTATATATATATATATATATATATATCTCAATTCTTACTTGGATAGCTTTAGAATTTTTTTGACAATTGCTAAGCAGCTAGTCAAACATGCAACATACATATGAATTTAACATACATGTGACTTTAGCTCCTACAAATTCGTATTTACCAATTTATGTTTTAACTAATTTAAAGATATCTTAATTAAGTTGCTAAAAAATTGAGGTACAATTTTATATTTTTTTAAGGCCATATAATGGCAATATGTTGTTGATTTAACAATTATTAGTAGTACTTTTTCCCTTAGCTATGTTTATTGTAGAAATACTAGTTTCTAACATTTTTTTTGTTAACTAATGACTTTATTATTTTTGAAAATTATATGTGGAATTGCCCACACAATTGCATCAGAAGTTGTATTTAAAAAATCTAATAGATCAAAATCTTATACTTAAAAACTACAATCTATAATAAATAATATATTTCTATTACAAAATTCAAAAGAATATTATTTTATTACAATATTTTAAAGCCACTGGATATATTAAAACCATGAATCGGTAAAAAATAATTAAAAAATATAGAATTAAAAATTGGTAAAAAAATTAAAAATATATAATTATTAATATTAAAGATAAATAAAAGAATTTATTTTTTGAATGATGACTTCCAATTACAAAAGAATAAAAAGTTTTGAAGCAAGCCTTAAGCATGAGTAAAACATTAACAAGATTGTAGATAACTTAATCTTATTTTTGTATTTACTAATCAACAAGGAATTGAAGTAGCTAGTTCTTAAAGATTGTAAGGCTTGTACAACTAACATCTAGGTTGTGAGGAGCCATTATAGAAATTATTTAAATCCAACATACTTACAAGTAATTTTTGTACAGTTGTATTTAAATAGTAGAGATGTTTGTAAAATTAAATTTTAAAATAAGTAAAACACATCAAGCCATTGTAATAAGATTTCAAGTGATAAGAACTTTTTGAAAATTTGTTCTATAAATAAATATTATGTTTGACAGTACCATTAATTGGAGTCCATAAGACTAAGAGCTCTAACTCTTTGCTATTTCATTTTAAAATTTTTACCCAAGTTCCTGAAATAGTACACCCAAAAGCTTACATGACAAGTTTCTTTCAAAGGATATACAACTTCCCAATAAATGTATTACATAAAATTTGTGAACTGCACCCGAGAACCTATAAAAAAGAAACCCACCATATCTTGTGTACTGCAAATACCACTGATCACAGATTAATTCAAGATGGTTAAAAAATATTAGGCTAGTTGAAAGCTTTTCGGACTTCCTCACCAACTCTGACAAAACTCATTTATCACTGTCATGTTAAGACTTGATACACCCCAAGCAAAGATGCCACATATACAATCATATTGTAAGCATTGGTATGACCTCAAGTGTAAAACACAACATGCAATGAATCGAAACAAATGAGACCAGGATTATCAACACCATTTGATATTAATCCTCTGTGCACAAAAGTAAGAAATCGACAACACAATCTCCAGTCTCAACATGAATATGTCAATCCTCTACATCAATTCTACAGATAACCAGCAACTCTTTCACGTAGATGCAAATATCATTGTTTTACGCATGTATCTCTGTTCTCGATACTAAAACTAAGCAAGAAACTGTGTTGATTTCCTCTCTGCAAATCAACAAAGTTATCTCTACTGGACGAGGATTTTAAGAACGATCCTGGCGTGCTTACTGCATAACAAGTGTAACAGATTCAGTCGCTGATCACAGTAGAAAATGAACTAGACCAAGAGGATAAAGATTGCTGTGCTTGGGTGCAGGCTGACGGTTGCAAAAGCAAAGAAAATAACATTTTCTTGCATGTCTCCTCGGCTTCACATTGGAGGCCATCAGACCTGAAAGCTTCAAGTTATTATATTTTGCCTCCCATATAATGCGTACCAAGTGCACACGTATATATTCCACGAAGGAGGAGGATGTCAGGGTAAGTTTCCAGAACCATCCGAATTTCAGACTGGTCCTACAAAGAAAATTCAGTTGTATCTTTTTGGTGGTTATACTGTTCCAAAGCATGACTCTATTCAGAAAAATTTCAAACCTGTGGATGGCAGGAAGTCAAACAAGCATAACTTAGCATGAACAGATGACTTGACTGCGATAGTAAATCCTTCAAAAGAGTCCCACAGATGCCCCTATCCAGAGCTCTCACATACACTTCCTACATTGATACTTGAGAATCAACAGAACCAACGCAGTGCCTGATCTACATAACTCAAGCTGTGAAGGACAAAAGGGCAAAAGAACAGACCCTTTGTTGTAGACGAGGACAGTTGAGAAACAATTTGCTCGTAACTTTTCATCTTCGCTGAACCAGAACAATCACAGAAACCAGTCATGCGCATGTTCCTAGCTGTCGAGGAAGCTCGAGTTACTTATATAGTCCACAACTGCATAAACATTTGCGTTGATTCCATTGGCCTTCAGGAGAGAACCAGTGTCGTTCAAGAGCCATCGAGCTCCCTCGTTGCTTGCAATACCTCTCTTACACATCCAACACCCACCTGAACCAGATGCACACAAGTCTATCATGTTACTGTTGCATACCTTTTTAGGAAATAAGCTCCAGAGATGCATCTCGCTGATCAACATCCTGACTCACCAACCAGACATTGACAACTTTGATAAGTGTTTCTGAATTTCTGAATCCTTAAATTTTTCTTCTAAAAAGCAAATCACAGTGAATGAATATGTGGCAACCGAAACAAGTGGTGTGAAGTCGATTTTAATGGAATTCAAATCATTCAGAAGTAAAGATAAAAAAACTTAACATATTAATGAGACTC